GCCTCCACGTGTATGAACACACACATACATGAATAAAGATAATAGAGCCCCACTTAATCTATAGTACTTATAGCAGCCCAGGCAAACTAATAGTGTCATTACATTGGTCAAAATGCACAAAATTCACACTAATAGTTCAGTGTAATATCAACTGGAGATCTTCATTAGCAAATGTGTCAGTGCTAATATAGGAAGTGGGAAAGAGAAAGGGCCTATATGCAAACTCTGTATTTTCTGCTATATCTTTCCTTTTTTCTTTTCTTTCTTTCTTTTTTTTTTTTTTTTATTTTTCGAGACAGGGTTTCTCTGTGTAGCTTTGCACCTTTCCTGGAACTTACTCTGTAGACAAGGCTGGCCTCAAACTCACAGAGATCCACCTGGCTCTGCCTCCTGAGTGCTGGGATTAAAAGGTGTGTGCCACCACCGCCCAGCACAGGCACAGTCTTAAGCACCCATACTCCTGGCCATGGCAGCACCTCTGTGGACACTCCAGTTTCCTAAGGTGTCACCTGCCAGTCATCTGCAAAGGAAGCTAAAGGCTCCTATGTCCGCAGCTCTTTTTTGTCCCCCAAGATGATGTTTAAATCAGGAAAAGCCATTGCCAAACACAGTATTTATGTCAGTGTCCAAGCTCTTGGTCCTAAAGATTGTTTTAAAGACATTAGAAAAGCATCAGCCCACGCTCCAGCTGGTGAAACCCAGAGAACGAAAGGTCGAGTGTCAGAGCGGCAGCCAGGCCTGAGATAGGGACACTGTGCCTGAAAGGTAGAGTGACAGTGTGGCCAAGTGATGTCTGCAGTCGGAAAGCTGAGCTGGAATCCGAGTTCAGCCCTTCTATTGTTTGCACAGTGCTAAATACAGCTAACCAAAGCAGGTCTCATGGAGGGATTGTGCCTGTAAACGGGGCATGGAGTGGTACTGTGCCCGCTTTTATTTCCGGAGATTGAAGTCATCTATTTCTATTACAGGCGGGATGAGCACAGAAATGTCTCATTTCTTCCCTTGCACTGGAGGCCTGAGTGGTGTACTGTCCACTTACTAGTTAACTCCTAATGCCTCATTTTAGAGTCTTCATCTGTGAAATGGGGATGACAAGGGAAATATTACCCATCTCATAGAGTTACTATGAAATTAAATTAGTCACTGTGTGAAAAACTGCACCGATCAGTGCCTGGAAGCCAGCATACAAAAAGTAAATGTTAGTCACTATGCTTCTCGTCATGGGTGATATATTTTAGATTTCTAGTCTACAGAGAACAGAGAGTGTTTTTGGAGATGTTAGAGCCGCAAGGCCCTCAGGACACATTTCTAATCCAACCCTCTCGAAGACCAGAACTGGCTAAACAGCCTGACCAAGATTAAAATCTGGGCCTAATAATTCCAGTATAGTTCACACTCCCAAACTGCTGGGTTTGCGCTTCACAATGAAAACTGCTGGGGGAGGGTAGGAAAGGTCACTCAGTCCTTCCTCTCTGCAAACCGCCAAGGTATCTTCTAGAAAGAGCTGGAGCCATCTAAACTTCCTGGAAGAAAGAATATTCATCCAACATCTTGGGAACTCCTGCCTCGGGTAGCACTTTTTTTCTCTTTTGAGGTGAGGTGAGTATGATATCATCTTATGTCCACAGAATCTATATGTAAGCAATACATAAATCAGTCTGTTTTACAATAGGATTATCAGTACTTGAGACATTGTGACCTAATAGGACTCACTATGCAGTTTATCACTTCCTTCATAGGTGGAAATCTACACCTCACTTTAGAAAAGCTTTTTCTCACCTTCCTAACTCAAGTAAATGGCAGCTGCCTTGTCCTTCTCAGCTTTTTTACTTCCTACTCTACCACAGCATTATATGATAAAAGCTGAAATTCTCCTATTAATCTGCCATGAATCTCTCCTATTCTCACCCTCTTTCTGACTTGAATATACATCCAAAGCAAGAACTTTGTCTCTTTAATGCCATGTCTCTAGTACCCAAGCCAATGACCAATATATGATTGGTGACCAAACATCAATGCTAACATAGGTGACTGCGTTCAGTCTAGTCTAACATAGTGACTGCGTCCACTAAATTTCCACTCATTCGCATTGCCCAGGAAGGAATGCAAAAATAAGGAACATTAAAAACAAACAACCGCTGGGCGGTGGTGGCACACGCCTTTAATCCCAGCACTTGGGAGACAGAGGCAGATGAGTCTCTGAGCTGGAGGCCAGCCTGGTCTACAGAGCGAGTTCCAGGACAGCCAGGGCTACACAGAGAAACCCTGTTTCGAAAAAACCAAAACCAAAACCAAACCAAACCACCAACAACAAACAAACGGGCTGGAGAGATGACTCAACAGTTAAGAGAACTCGCTGCTCTTCCAGAGTTGGGTTCCCAGCACCCATGTCAGGTAGCTCACAAGGGCCTGTACCTCCAGCTCCTGGGGAGCTGACACCCTCTTCTGACCTACACGGGCCACATATCTGCACATACACACATGCGTACACACAAAAAATAAATCCTTTAAAATTAAAAACAGCATGATTGGGCCTGGAGAGACGGCTCAGCAGATAAGAATAATTGTGAAGACAAGTGGGTCTGAGTTCAAATCTTAACTAATCATATAAAAATCTGGCATGGCAACTCATTCTTGTAACTCCCAGCATTGGGGATGGGATCCCAGGAGCTCACTGGCCAGCCCCTCCAGCCTAAATGGTGGTGAGCTCAGGTTCAATGAGACACCCTGTCTCATAAAGTGGAGTAGAAGCAGCAGAGGAAAACACCCAGCATCCTCTTCTGGCCTAGTCAGATGTGCCCATATGCACCAGCATACACGTGGTCAGATACCACACTTAACACATACAGACATATACACACCTCCACCACCACCAGCAGCAGAAGGAACCCATACAGTAAGGTCAATATACAAAAAAAAAAAAATCAAAGCGGGATTGGGATCCATTTACAACTCACCCAGTTAGTCAATTTCAGCTTTCAAAAAAGAACTGATGAGAAGGTATTTAAGTTTAAAAGATGTAGGTAATAACATGGAGTATGGTGTTCACACTTCCTAACCTTCATTCATAATCACTGCTCCCTCGATCTAAAGAATCAGTTTCTTCCAACACACTAGCTGAGCTACACCAAAGACAACTGTTGGTGACCTAGCAGAAGACCTAGCCTTCACTGGGCTCTTTCTTCTGCATCTCCTGGGTAATCAGGAGCGGGGTCGAGGAAATGGTGAGGAACCTTCAGACCCAAGCGGCTATCTCTGAAACACAGGTCACCAGCGACCCTATTTCTTCAGGCGGAAAGGTGATGGTTCCTAAAGGCTTCCCAAACACTCAACACTACAATGTTGGGACTCTTAAAACATCCCAATTTAAGAGCCGTATCTTCCCAAACCCAGGAATGAAGAGCGTCCTCAAGTACAACTTCCCTCTCTTAAATTCTCTCCCTACCCCGAGAAATCCCCCGGAGCAGTTGAGGACGATAAAAAGGAATCTGGTGTGGCCTAAGATACAGCGAGAGAAGAAAAGTGTTAGGACAAGAAGGGGACCCGGGGTCGGTAAAGATTACGATAAGAACAAGGTCTGACCCTTTCCAAGCCCAGTGCGTCCGTCTGAAGAAGTGATGAGGACCAGAAAACTGAAGCACAGCAAACAGGTGGCCCCGAAATGAAGCGACATTTCCACGGTGGTAGTTGCAGGGCCACCGGACTGAGGGAACACAGGCTTCCTAGCAGAGGGTCCGCTCCGCTCTCCAATCGCCGCTCAGCCCAACCCCTCCGGTTCCCAGATTTCTTTCCTTTTTTTTTTTTTTCTTTCCCCCTCACCAAACACTGGAGGAAGTGATGTTAGACGGATGTGGGCGGTGCCTCCGGGGTCCGCTTTGGAATGGAGTAAGTTTAAAGGTGCAGCTCACGTAGAAGGATAGGGGAGTATATCTCGAGTTTGCTTTCCCTAAATCCTGTTTGTCCAAGCCTAGGAGCACAGCCCGATAAGATGGACCGAGATGGTGGGGGCTGGGGAGAGGTTCGGGAGAACCGTTGTTAATTGCGTCTGAACTCCAGCCTAGCCCCTCCCTCCCAGGGACCACTGCACTAAATTTATTCAAAATGCAAATTATTATCTGTGAATTCTGCGTCTCACGACAGAGGACCTGTCACCCGTTGGCTTGGAATTTCCCGTCCCCCTGTACAAATTAAAAAGACTAGGCTACAGCATTTCATTGTTAGACTTCTGCTCGGGATTCCGAAGAGATCCAGTAAGCCCGTTTTGCTGTGCACGCGTCTGTGTCTCGCAGGCATGCACTTTGGAGAAGCTCTGGACCTTTCCCTCCCCGTGCATCCGCACGTCTTTCACTCGGGCATGATGCAATCAACTGACGCAAGCTCAAAAAAAAAAAAAAAAACCATGCTTGGGGCTTCTTATTGCACAACTGACGAGGTGGACCGAGGGAACCGGGACATAAGTCACTACAGTCACTTAAAGTCTAAAGCTTTTTCCCGTTAAATCTGTTGGTTTGTCTTGAAGGGTCAAGTATGTCTTTCCCTTCTACTACCTAAACAAGCCAACATTTCTCGACTTCCCCTCCTGGTCTTAGTAGAGTCTATCAGAGCTTAGTGCTCAGCGAACGACACCCAAACAACAAAGTATACCCTCGAACGAAACCCCAGGCCGCCCTTCGGTTAGGTGCAAGACAAAAGGTAAGCGCGGACACAATGGGACGCCGAGGGGGACCGCCACCTCCAGGATGCACCCGCCCGCCAATCAGAATATTGGGGTTCGCGAGGCAGGCTGGGCTTTGTAGTTGCGGGGCGCGCGCGGCAGCCGTGCCCACCCCCCGCCAACCCCGCCTCCCGCGGGCGAGGCGGGGCCGCGCGTCACGTGGGCCGCTCCCGCCGCCGCCGCCGCGGTCTTTCTCTGTCTCCGCCGAGGCAGCCATCTTGCTCTTGCCGCGTGCTGGTGTTGGAGGACCCTCCCCGCTGCAGGTGAGACCCCCGGCGGGCCCGCCACCCCACGGCCTCCGGCCGCTGCGCACGGTCTCCCCCCGCCCTCCCCTTCCGACACCCGCCGTCCGCTCGGGCTGCCACTTCCGCCGTGGCGCGGCGAGTGGGGGCGGAGGCGGCCGGCCCGGCCTGTCGGTTACGGGCGGCGCAGCTGGGGGTCGGCACCTGAGGGAAGGTCCCCAGCACCACCGCCCGCTGTGGAGGAGCCGGGCCCCGGGCTCCGGCCTCGCAGATCCAGTCCCGGGAGGGTAGAACCCTCCACGTCCCGTCACTCATTCTCCACAACCACAGTGTCAGACGCTTTGAGCTTTTGTACAGCGTTATCTGTTGCCATCTCCTTTGCTCCTGACCCAAGTCTCCGGATAGGGAAACTGAGGTTAGCACCCGGCCCCCAACCTCTTGGGCCGGAACTAGGTTGCTGGCGCTCTTCACTTTTTAGTGGCAGTGGTTTGTTTACAAGTCTGCCTTGGTTTTGAGACAGCCCATCCTTATAACCTCATCACATTGATGACTGATCGCCAGGGCACAGTGTTAACACAGTTGGTGAATGGCGGTTTCAACTTCCGTTCCCACGTTCTTTCATTATACCATCAGTGGTCCTCTGGAAGAGTGGTAACAATAGTTACCAACTATTAGGTATCTTACACTAACTTGATAATCTAAGCTTTCATCCTTTAACTCAGTAAAGTATGTGGTGGTATACTTCTCTTAATGCAGAGAAACAAATGAGTTCAAAGAAGTTAAATACCTTTCCAAAGCCCTAAGTGGTAAAACCTTGGGCTTTCTGATTCTAATAGTAGCTTCTGCTACTATTAGAGAAACCTCACATAAAAAGTCAGGGCTGAAAGTTCAAATTATTTTTATCTTTGTATAAACATGATGTATGTGAAAGTACCTGGGTGCTTAGAACTTGAGCAGTCAATAAATATTGATTCATCTCATACTCTTTCGGAAGTCCTTGAGAAAAGTGCAAAAAGGATTCTTGGAGACTCAACTCAGTGATCATGTGGCCCTGGGAAGTCACTTCTCCCTCTGGGACACAGAAAGGAACTTTCTAGGCCTTCATTTTCTGTTAAACTAGAAAGAAGGCTGTTTTGTTTGTAATTTATGCCCTGCTGTACTAACAGGTATCTGAGATGACCTCACATACAAAACAGGAATGACAGGTACATTAAAGATACTAAGTAGAGATTAAACCAGGTGATTGTTGGGGTCTCTGAGTCTAAGTCTCTTTCCTAATTGAATCCTACACAGCCCAACAGCTGAGAGACACAGCCCACATCTCTCCCGCCCCTGCTGCTTTAAGTTCCCAGGCTCCCTAAAATTTCCTTCTTTTTCCAAGGTACTCCTTAGGAATAGGAATTCTTAATTCTGTTATCCTGGCCACCTGGAATGGAATCATTCTTTCATCTACAACATAAGAAAGAATTTTGGTTTTGCTTCTGCTTCAAATAAGTCTGGATGCTTTGTCTTGTCTTTCCAACCTCCATCTCTCTTCTTTGGGATTGTTACTCAAAATGCAGACTAGTCCCAAAGGGCTTGTGCTGTGTTTAGTTCTAATATTTTCTCTTGACTTCCTTTTTGCAAGAAATTCCTTAAGTGCTTTGTTATTTCACTATACCTCCATGGCTGTAATCCTTTGAGGAAAATGAACATTAGTTTTTTTTGTGAATATTTGAATACAAGATTGAGGTTTATATCAGCAAGTTTAAGTCTGTGGCACAGCTAAGATTGGCACACATCTAAGACGATTTGGATTCTTCACACAACTCCTCCCGTACAAGAGTTGTAGCTGCATGACCATCATGATAGAATGTTGAACAAATTGAGAAGCCATAGGTTCTAATTTTTATTTGGGAAATGGATTCAGCCTTACAGCAATGATATATACAGGTCAGTTTCCTAAGTTTCAATGCCAGTTCAGAATGGTTAGTAATTTACATGATCTTTAATTCTCCCCCCTCCAATATGAAAAACTGTATCCTTCTCATCTGAATGATGCAATTACAAGGTTAGAGAATTAGAAGAAAAAAGAAAGTTTAATAATAACCTAGTCCCTTACTTCCTCCTTCACATCTCAGTAATGATCTGGTGAGCCACAGAACAAGTCAAACAAGAATGTTGAATTAGCTTTTATTTATTTCTAGATTGAGGAATGTCGTTCTCCTTACCAAGAGTGTCACTGACCAGACTAGAATTCATGATTTTATAATGTCCTTAGAATCTTCAAAAGTCAAGATTTGCTATAAAAGCTTGTTTTTTTTCTCCCCCCCACCAACTTAATGTAGCCAAGATACATCTTTGTCAAATTGTGCAGTGAAACATTTTACCCTATATGCAAAAATATCTTGTTAAGTGTGATGTATTCCATCAGTGCAAGGTCTAGAATGAACTCGGGTGCTGCTGAATCAGGGAGTGTTTGGAAATCTGGTAGTTTCCCATTATTAACACATCTGACCTTGAATAGAGGACGTGACTCGCTTGTATTTTGACAGCCTGACAGCCTATTGTTCGATTTCTTCTTTACCTAGCCTTTTCCCTTTGTGTCATATTTATCCTTTATAAGAAATGGAATGTGATTCCAGAGAAAACAATCTGCTTGAAGGTTTTGCTAATAACATTTGGTAATTGTTCTCTGCTTTGAAAGTCTTTGGAAGAAAAAGCCTGCTTGCCTACAGAGATTTCATAATTGGTTAGGTTTTTCTGAATGCCAGAGAACTGAGTCATGTTTTAAAAAAGGATCTTTAAATAGGCAACTTGAATCCCATTCATTTGCTGTTTGTATATTTGACTCCCATGTGGTATTTACTTTTTTTAAAAACATTGATTTATGAAGCTAGAGCAGGTTATCACTATTACAAATATAGACAGTATTGATAAGATCTTGACGGTAATGCTCAGTGAAGCAAAAGGTATTGTTTGTATAAATAAGTTTTTAACTTTGATAAAACAGTAAATTTAACAAATCTATTTTCCCCCCTAGATTTACCAACAGCATGAATCAAGAAAAGTTAGCCAAACTTCAAGCTCAGGTCCGGATAGGGGGCAAGGTGAGTGTGTAAGACAAACTGGTAGGAGCACGTATGATTGTGAGATAGTATTACTACTTTGTATTTGTGGTCGTTGAGTCCAAAATCTCCTCAGTGATTAAAATCAGACCACATTCCTGTTTGATAATAATTTGTCTAGATCTAAAACAGGTAATTAGAAGACTTTCTCTCTGATGGCAATGAAAATAGACACCTTTGTAGGTGAGGCCTAGTTCTAGTATTGTTAATTTGCAGCCTGTCATGGCTGAACTAATGTTAAGTTAGGCCTCTTCATACACATATGTGCACATGCATACATGCATGCCTGCAAATGTGTACCACAACATGGAGATGAGGACAACTTGCAGGAGTCAGTTCCCTCCTACCACATGGGGTCTGGAGATTGAACTAAGGTTATTAGGTTTGGTCATAAACACTTTAAGCTACTGAGCCATCCTACCAGCCCCACTGTATTTTTTGAGATAATGGTTTCTCACTAAACCCGAAGCTTGCTGATTCAGCTAGACTGGCTGGCCAGTGAGCCTCCAGAATCTTCCTGTCTCTACCTTCCAGGAGTTACACTGGCCATCCCCAGTTTTTATTTTGGTTGTCCATACTCAGTTCCTTATGTTTGACACAAGCGCTTGACCAATTGAGTCATATCCCCAGACCCATAATTATGTATTTTTAATGTAGTGGCTGGTAATGCATTAATTTATCTACTGTTAACTGAGTACTTAATTTGTACCAGGCATAATAAATAAACAAGATTTCTTGCTTTTGACATTGACATAGCTCAACATGGAAGAAAGTCATGCTCACAATTACAATGAAGAACAGCAAGTATTGCAGTGAAGAACAAAGTATTTTACCTAGGAGAGTCATGCTGGGATTTAAGGGATAAATAAGAATTTATCACTAGACCAGCAGGTGGAAGAGTTAGTGGGGGTAGGCTAAAATGGGCATTGCTATTTGCATATATGCAAAGCCCCACAGGGTGCCGAGAAAATATGGACCTTAATAATGGCTGACTTTAGTTTGGGACAGCTAGTTTAGAGTATACAATGGATAGAAAATGGTAAGGATCGGATGACCAAGTAGTTTGGGCTCCATCATACTTTTTATATACCATTCTAAGGAGCTTAGAATTTTATCCATCCACAGTGGACAACTATTAAATGCTTTTAAGAAGGCAATGGCCAGGTGTGATAGCCCAGGCCTTTAATTCCAGCACCTGGGAGGCAGAGCCTGATGGATCTCTGTGAGTTCAAGACCAGCCTGGTCTACATAGCCAGAACCATATAGTGAGATCCTGTCTTGAAAGTACAACAAAAAGGTAGGGTGGTGGTGGCGGCGGCGGCAGGGGCAGCATGCCTTTAATCCCAGCACTTGGGAGGCAGAGGCAGGCAAATCTCTGTGAGTTCAAGGCCAGCCTGGTCTACAGAGCCAGTTCCAGGACAGCCAGGGCTATGCAGAGAAACCCTTTCTTGAAAAAACAAAATATAGCCGGCCGGGTGGTGGTGGCACACGCTTTTAATCCCAGCACTCGGGAGGCAGAGCCAGGTGGATCTCTGTGAGTTCCAGGCCAGCCTGGGCTACCAAGTGAGCTCTAGGAAAGGCGCAAAGCTACGCAGAGAAACCCTGTCTTGAAAAACCAAAATTTCAACTTTTGCACAGAAAAAAAAAAAAAAAAAAAAAAAAAAAAAATACAACAAAAAATGAGGAAATGATACTGTTTTAGGACTGGTGGCAGTGTGGAAAATGGGATCAAATGGAGAACAGTCTGGAGCTATTGTTGTACGACATGGGACACAAATTCAGAGGTTGGATTGACATGATTTAATGAAGATGGGATGTGGGGAGATAAAGGGCAGAGAGAAGAATTGAGGGTGTTCCCCAGGCTTTGATTTTAGAATGTGGGTCTGTGGTTTTTACCAGCTAGAACATCTAGGAGATGAAGGAACATTAGTGGACTGATAAGTCTGTAGATATGTTGCATTTTTTGTTTTTGTTTTTTGAGACAGAGTCTCACTCTGAAGTCCATGTTGCCCAGGAATTTCTTACGTTGATTAGACTGGCCTCAAACTTTTAAGCAATCCTCCTGTCTCTCTTTTTGAATGCTGGGATTACATGTGTGTATAAACTACTTACATAGTAGCTTAGTCGAAGTACCTGAAGACCTTTCAATAGAGTAGCTCTGCCTAATGGCACACTCTGTAGTCACAGCACAGGGGAGGCTGAAGCAGGATTGCCTCACTAGATAGCAAGACCCTGTCTCAAAACAAAACAGAGCAAGCAACTAAACTCTCCCTGAGTTAGGAATACTTCGCAGATAAATGACCATCTGTGCAAAGGGTTCCGTTAGCAACTGGAGGCCATCATAACCTGTGCAACCAGGGCTTGTTCTCCCCCGGGACTGCTGAGACAAACCACAGCCTTCCTTCTGTAAGGCTGAGTTCCTGAGGCCTATGCAGGAGCCACTGAGACACCAAGCATCCCATTTGTCTACCACTCCTTATTTCAGAAAGAGCTTACCTCAGAACTTGGCTTTTGGTAGTGTTTCAGCTCTGATATTGGTTACAGTTTTTTAAAAATTGGCCCAGAAATTTAACCTATTATTTTAAATAGTCTTTAATGGAAAAAAATATTTATTCTTTTTAAAATTTTATTTGTGTATATGTGTCTCTGTGTCTGCCGGTGTCTTCAGGAGCCAGGAGAGGGAATTGGATCTCCTGAAGCTGGAGTTACAGGCAGTTGTGAGTTGCCTGACATGGGTGCTAGGATTTGAACTAGCCTCCTCTTAACCACCGAGCCATACCTCCACCCCTGTATTTCTAATTATCAATAGAGAAATAAACCTTTTCTAAGACTTATCATCATATCCCACATCTCACCCATCAGAAGTCACTTTGTCTCTTGTGACAGTCTGACCTGTGGCCATCTCTCATCTCTCACCACACTTGTGCACCAACCCCTGACTGGTCTCATAGCCTCCAGGTCCAGCTTCCTGGAGCAACCTTAAATGGGAATAAACAGGTCAGATGAGGTCTCTGGTAATAGTTTCCTATTGCAATCAGAATAAAGTCGAGCACCTGCCCATGAGATTCTAATCGACATGGTGTGGCCCTTGTGTGTCTGTCTGACTCCTTTACCTCTTCCTTCTTCCTTGTTCAATCTGCTCTAGCCACACTGGCTCCCTCTCTGTCTAGAAGACAAGTTCAGTCTTGTTTCATTCTGCTTGGATCACTCCTGCTTGGTCGTGGGTCTCATTTCTAGTAAAATTGTGCTTTGCTCTTTAATCATTCTAGTTTTGTTTCTTTTATACCATTACCCTGTTTGAAGTGATTTAATTGGTTTAAGACACTTCCCTTTTATTGCAATATAAGAACTTAAGTAAAATCTTGGGTCTGTTCCCCCCCCCCTCCATTCCTGGATTCTCTGACTCTGGAGTACTCACATAGTAAGGATTTAATTATTTAATTCTCAATATATAATAGTTTCTAAGATTTTGGATCATATTTAGACTTTATTGTCAGGGGCTGACAGGAATTCTGTGAAAGCATAAAATGTTTGAAAGTTGTTATAAAGCACACTGGATGGTCTTCAGAGTTATAAATTGTGTTCTATTAACAAGTAATATTTAGAAACATAATGTATTGAAATGATGAAATAGCAGCTGACTACAAGTGCCCTTCAGGTGTTGGCGGAATATCACAGCTCCATGGTCCCGCTAATCACTACTGTTGGGTTAGTTTTTCCAATGTGGATTTTAGATTGTGACCAGGAGGATGTGATTCTGTTGCCAGTCACTATGCATATTGACACCGATGTCTGATTATTTTCCAGGGTACAGCTCGCAGAAAGAAGAAGGTGGTACATAGGACAGCTACTGCTGATGACAAAAAGCTTCAGAGTTCTCTAAAGAAACTGGCTGTGAACAATATAGCTGGTATTGAAGAGGTATGCATGCTTTGAAAGCCCAAATTATAGGAAATAAAATGGCACATGCACAGTTCTTTTGACTTTTCAAATTAAAATGCTAGCTTAGAAGAATCTTTAGTATTTCATGCACATATCTTTGAAAAAACATTGTTAAATTTGCTTGGGGATAAAATGATTTTAGTAGGCAGTTAGGGATTTTTTTCAGACTTTTCAGACTTAAGGTATTTGCATGTATGACAATTATGAAACTGCTCGTGAACTTTAATGTAAAAAAAAGGTTTCTTTTTCTGTTTTGTTTTATTTTTTTTTTTTTTCTGTGGGTCACTGCATCCTGGACTGGGCTCTAACTTGTGATCTTGCCTCCTTTATTGGCATTTAACAGTATGTGCCCCAATGCCTTACAAGTTATTTTTTTCTAATGATGTAGAAGTAAAACCCAGTATTTTTTCAAATGAGACTTTTGCTTGTGCCCTAAATTCACTTTTCTGTACTACAAAGTCTCTATTACATCATCACAGAAACTTCTACTAGCAGTAGCTTTATATGGATGATTCCCTCCCTTTCTTTCTTGCTTATTTTTACTTGTATTATTTATTTATTTTGGTATTTTCCATACAGGCTTTATCTGTATAGTCCTGGCTGTCCTGGGACTCACTACTAGACCAGACTGGCCTTCTGAGTTGTGAACTCAGAAATTCTGCTTCTGCCTCCCAAGTGCTGGGATTAAGGGTGTGTGCCGCTATACCTGGCTTATTTTTATTTATTTATTTAGTGATTTAGTGATTTATATATTTGCATTGGTGCATCTGTGTATGGGTGTTGAGTCCCCTGGAACTAGAATTACAGACAGTTGTGAGCTGCCATGTGGTTGGTGGGAATTGAACTCAGGTCCTCTGGAAGAACAGCCAGTGCTCTTAACCACTGAGCTGTCTCTCCAGCCCTTATTTTTATTTTTTTAAAGTATTCTCTCACTGGATAGCTGATTATACTCAGCTGATTGGATTTATTAGGGATTTTTCAAAAATGGTAACTTCTAAAAGTCTAGTATATGAATTATTTTTTCACTGCTGTGACAAACTACTTGACAAAAGCATCTTGAGGGATCTTGGAGCATCTTGGCTCCCAGTCTGGGCGTGCTGTTTATCCTGATGGTGAAGGCCTGACAGGAGCGTGAGGGAGCTGGGATACAGCTGGGAAGCAGAGAGAAGTGAGGTGTTGCCCTGCTTGCTTTCTTTGTTTTGAGACAGGGTCTCACTTGGTCGCCCTGGCTGGCCTGGAACTCACTATGAAGGCCAGGCTGGTTTTGAACTCAGAGATTTCTCTGCCTCCCAAGTGCTGGAATTAAAGGCGTGCGCCACCACTACCCAGTACACTGAGGTTCTTAATGGGTAAATACTGATAATATAAGAAGAATCCCAGAGAAAAGACATGAAATGTCAGAGTGCTTCACCATGCATACACATGCAAATGAGCAAAATTAACCTTTAAATCTACTTTCACAATCAGTACTGATAAAATCATAGGAAATATAAGACATGCATTTTTTTTTTCTCTTTTCAGCTTGAGGTGACAGAATTCTTACTTAGGTAAAGATTAGGCTGTGATTTGCATGTCTGATTTCAGTTTTTTTCTGAGCTGTTAAAAGGTTTTATATATTGTCTTTTTAAATATTTATTTATTCATGGTGGGGGCTGGTGTTGTGTGGAGATCAAAGGAACATTTTTGAAAGTTGGCTATCATCTAATGTGTGGGACCAAGGAGTCTTACTCAGACCATCACATCAAGCTTAGCAGCAAGCACCTTTACCTGCTTAGCCATCTCACTGGCCCCCAAAGCTTTTATATATCTGCACTGACCTAAAATTTCAGACAGACCAAGTCTGGTGACACACTTCTTTAATCTCAGCACTGTGTGGGGTGGGGGAGGGCAAAGACAAACAGATCCCTGAGTTTGGAAGCCCACCTGGTCTACAGAGCAAGTCCCAGGACAACCAGGACTATACAGAGAAGCCCTGTCTCAGAAAAAAAGAAAAAAGAATTCAGACAGATATTCTCAATCATGGATATATTAGAGAACAAAGATACCCCCAAACCTAAGTTCCTTCAGACTTCTCTTTGAGGATATATCCCAATGGTAAAGTACTTGCCAGCATGCCTGAGTCCTTGGGTTTAATCCTAACAACACCAAAAATAAATTCATAAGATCCAAAACTTAGTAGTAAGTTACAGCAGACACAAACTATATAATACCAAACCTAACATAATTGAAAATGTTTACACAATTTATAGCTCTACTACTTTTCTATTCTCCAACCCATTCATACATCCAATCTCATCCCTACTGATAATTTGGAGCAGATACTTCTTTGTTGTCAGTTCTCTTGTGCTTCTTGGGATGTTTAACAGCATCCCTGGCCTCTGCCCATAATCACTTATAACACCCCACACCACCACCTCAGTGGTAACAGTCAAAAATGTCTCTGAGCTGGCTGTCTTGGTCCACTACTGTCCCCCAGAACTTGGGAGTTTGCACTCCTATAGGCAGAAGTTTTCTGTGTCTTGGCAGCTGCTCCCAAATAACTATTCAGAGATTCATTATTAATCATAAATGCTTGGCTGATAGCTTAGGCTCATCTCCAGCAAGCTCTTACAACTTAAATTAACCCATTTCTATTCATCTATGTGCTGCCCTGTGGCTCACACGGCTTGTTACCTCATTTTGTACACATCCTGTTCCCTCTGTGGCTGGCGACTCCTCAGACTCAGCCCTTCTTCCCAGCATTCTCTCTGCCCTGAAAATCCTGCCTGGCTATCAGCCAATCAGCTTTTTATTAACAATGAGAGTGTTTTCACAGTGTACAGAAGGATTATTCCACAGCACAGCCCAGTACAAGTTCAGGCCAGCTTTGACTATATAATGTAGAAAGACCCTGTCTCAAAAACAGCCAGTGCCACAATAAAAAAAAATTCTTTCTAAATATTGTCAGATGGTCCTTTGGAAGAAAGAAAAGTCACCCTTGGTTGAGAAACATTTATTTAGAGAGATTAAAAAGTATATTTCCTTTGTAGTATAGATTAATTTGTGTTTTGTTTTTTGAGACAGGGGCTCATTATGTAGCCCAGGCTAGCCTTAAGCTTTCAATAATCCTACCTCAGCCTTCTGAGAGCTGGGATTGTAAGTGTAGACCACCATACCCCGTTTTGTGGTGTTGACTTTATCTATGTAGTATTTCCAAGGATATGTATTTATAAATGCTTGTTTTTGTTCACATTTAGAAAGTTTTATGGCTATTTGACTTGCCTCACCTTGAGAGTGCTGTGTGTGTAGTGTGTGTACATATATGTGGAGGTTCATGCTTGTATGCATGTGTCTCAGTTAGGGTTTCTATTGCTATGATGAAACACCATGACCAAAAACAAGTTGAGAGGATCGGGTTTATTCAGCTTATACTTCCACATTGCTGTTCATCACTGAAGAAAGTTAGGACAGGAACTCACGGCAGGATCCTAGAAGCAGGAGCTGATGCAGAGGCCATGGAGGGAGCTGCTTACTGGCTTGCTCCCCATGGCTTGCTCAGCTTGCTTTCTTCTAGAACCCAGGACCACCAGCCCACGGATGGCACCACCTACAATGGGCTGGACCCTCCCTCATTGATCACTAATTGAGAAAATGTCTTACAGTTGGATCTCATGAAGGCATTTCCTCAACTGAGGCTTCTTCCTCCGATGACTGCAGCTTGTGTCAAGTTGACACACAGAACCGACAGTATGGCATGCTTCATGGAAGCCATCCTCCTCTGTCGTTCTCCACCTTACTCCTTTGAGACAGCATATCTCAGTGAACCTGGAGCTTGCCTGGCAGCCAGCAGCCCTAGCAATCCTCCTGTCTCCCTCTTTTCTCCAAGTGTTAGGGTTACAGCCACGGGGGCTGATAAAAAGCTTATCCCAGCTTTTTATATGGGTTTTGGGGATTTGAACGCAGGTCTTCATGCTTGCACAGCAAGTAGTCTTACTTACCTGAATATCTTTTCCAGCTCCTGTGGCCCTTCAAATTACAGTTTTTTAAAATAATTGCTTCATAGTGAAATAACAGTAATTTTTTTCGAGGTATTGGAAATTCAACCCAGGGCTAGGCAAGCACTCTTACTGAGCTGTATCTTCAGCCCTAGCTAGTAACTGTGTATCGCTTCAAAAGACTGTCAAACTATGCTGAGGTCATAGGTCTGTTGTAACTGAAATTGTCCCACTAAAGGGCTTAATGATAGTCAACACTTACTGCATATCTATTATATACAAACCATTTTGTCAAAGGTGATGCAGAAAGTATTTTCCATAGCCTCTGTCATTTCTAACTTACAATCTTGTGGGAAGCTATTAGACAGCTAGCCATATAAATATGTATTACTCCATTTCAGCTTCCTAGCATCCAATGAGTTATTAGTTACAAATGAAAAGGGTAATGCTTGCAGAGTTCCACCAGCCTGTGGTGTCACAGATCTGGTGATCTGGACTGGAATTCTAGATTTGAACTAAGAAGTGTTAAAAACCAAAGTTGATACTGTGCTAAGTTAGCTCCCTTGTGGTCTTTTCAGTTGTACTTTCTTATTTCCAGCCTTCAATCTGGGCACGCACGAGGCAGAGGTAGGTGGGTCTTTGTGAGTTTGAGGCCAGCCTGGTATACATAGTAAGTTCCAGGCTAGCCAAGGCTACATAGTGACACCTTGATTTGAACAAAACAAGTTATATAATGATTTTCAGAAACACTGTGATGGGAGAGTCTAGATATGTCTTAGAATAAGGAAAATTCATTAATTACAAGTTTGAGGCCAGCAAGATGGCCCTTTGTCTGTATATACATTTCATGACTTACACACATATGAAATGTGTACAGCTTGCTTTGTGAATTCTTCTGCCTAAAAAAGCTGGAGAGCTGAGCTTGCTTAGCCCTGTAAATCATCCCTTGGCTGCTTCTCACAGCTTGTGCCCAGGAGCCTCACGTGACTGCCATTTGCTTAGTGAGATGGAGAGAGAATGCAACAGAAATGAAGTGCTCTGGCCTTTTTAATTCCTAGCATTGCATTCTCTATACTCTAAGATGAACTTTCCACCCTTCTGCACCTTCCTGTTCACGCAGCTGTATCCTTCACACCACCCCATTTAAAACAATCAGGAATAAATTTACCTGCAGTCTGAAATGGCGTTCATCTTACTTGTCACACTCAAACAGCATTTTACACTGAAAAGACGTGTATTAGGGTGTACAGTATGACTCAACCTCCAGCCTCTGGAAGAGAAGCCTGAACAGAAAGAAAATCCATAAATGAGTTGTTTTTGATCCTGTTAGCCTCTATGTATCCAGTGTGTATATGTATATGTGTATATATATTCTCCACATATCTGTAATGTTTTTCTTTTCCATTTGACCTATATTCTGAGACAAATATTTGACAAGCTTGCATAGAATTGGAGTTTTATAAACAGATGTATTAAGCATGAGGATGACTTAGTAGGAAGGAAACCAAATAGTAAGTTGAGAAACTCTAGTTCATTTCAAATACTTAGTTCATACTTAACCAGCTGTTTGTCCTGGAGTATAGTGTTTAACCAAGAGCACTGTCCTCTGTATTTACTTCTTTAGCATAAAAACAATAAGAATTTCAAATCAATTATGACTTTAATGTCTGCAAGTCAAGAATGTCTCAGATTCCAATACTTCCATTTTCCCTGTCCATAAGTGTTTGTAGAAATCCTTTACTGAACCATGTGATTTGAGAAAGACTACTGTACCATTCTTCCTTTATTCTTGTCTCTTAGTAAACCATAGACTCTAGAGTAGACTCAGGGCAGCTCCCTTCACATCCACTGTCGCCTCCCAGGCTTTTAGCCACTTTCACATTTAACTTTTCTACCAAAGCTGCAGTCTTCTTCAGAATAAATATAATTTATCTTCTAAAGTTGCTGTAAATTGAGTTAAGATGCCATTTGTTTAAAGCAGCAGTATCAAATGCTTGCTGCATGCATATGATACACTAAAAAAAAAAAAAACAAACTAAAATAAACTGGGCGTGGTAATACATGGTTTTAATCTCATCACTTGGGAGGCAGAGGCTGGTAGAATTCTGTAAATCAAGGTCAGGCAGGGCTAAATAGTGAAACTGTCTAAAAACAAACAAAACAACATAAAAAGATCCTTAAATACAGTCCCTTGCAGTGCTGAGAAAAGGACGATATAAAATTAAATAGTGATTTTTGTTTTGTTTTGTTTGTTTTTAGAGATAGGGTATCTGTGTAGCCCTGGCTGTCCTGGAACTCGGTAGCTTTGTAGGCCAAGACTAGCCTTGAACTCACAGAGATCCTCCTGTCTCTGGCTCCCGAGTGCTGGGATAAAAGGTGTGTGCCACCACCCAGCTAAATAGTGTGATTTTTTTGACACACACACACACACACACACACACACACACACACGGTTTTTCTCTGTAGCTTTGGAGCCTATCCTGGAATTCACTCTGTAGACCAGTCCCTGTCTCTGAAAAAAAAAAAAAAAAAAAATTAGAAATAATTTGTAGGGTTATTTTGTAATTTCCAAGGATATATCTGTATGTACTCTGTTTAAAGTATTGTCTGAGCCAGGCATGGTAGCGCATGTCTTTAATCCCAGCACTCAGGAGGCAGAGGCACGTGGATCTCTGTGAGTTCGAGATCAGCCTGGTCTACAGAGCTAGTTCCAGGACAGCCAAGGCTACACAGAGAAACCTTGTCTGGAGAAACTTGAGAAGCCCTTTTCTCCCGTCTCCGTCTCCGTCTGCTGTCGGTGGTGGCAGTCCCTCTGAAGAAGGGAAACCCACTTCCCACTGACACTGAGGGCACTTGGCGCCTGTATGAAGACAAGCACACTTTGGTGCCTCTGAAGTAGTTAAGTGTAACTCTCCTGACCTTCATATAATAAGCACTTACTACCAAGGTGACATTTATAGTGCAATTAACCACATGGTGGAATGAGATCATACCAAACCAAAACAACAACAACAAAATGCAGAAAGGAAATACATGAGAGAGAAATAACTTAAATAGCATGAATTCACTCTTATGTTTCTGTAAATCCCAAGACAGTGAAATAAATTAATCTGAAATCGATCAGATTGGTAAAAGCTAAAGAAATAATGGCAGGATGTGTTAAAGGATTCCTGCTTATTAACAAAGCATGTCCTGGAGGGTGAGTGAGTGAGTGAGTGGGAGAGCTTTGTTTACAGAAATTAGTGAAGGTGTTGAGAAGGTATATTTAAGAAATTAGAGAAAATTGTCAGGCCTGTAAGTGCAGATCTGTAGTCCCAGATACTTAGAATTAGAAGGCTGAGGCAGGAGGATCACAAATTCAAGGCCAGCCTGGAAACTTCCTAAGAATCTCACAAAATAAAAAGTAAAGAGCTGCGGGTGGACTTAGCTTAGCACCTGGAATGCCCCAGAGTACCCCAGAGAATGCAAAACAAACTAGCAACACACCTGCTGTAGCCCTAGCTACTTGAGGAAAACATCACAAGCCCTTTGTGTCTGATTTAAAAACAAATAATTAGGGGTAGTCAAGATGCTCTTCAGAAGCCTGATGACCTGAGTTAGATCCTAAGAAAGCACACAAGGTAGGAGGAGAGAGAAGTGACTCCACAGTATTGCCTCTGACCTCCACACGCCCTTATACAGTAATACAGATAATAACTACAAATTAAAAAAGGAGCTAGCTGGTGGTGGCACACACCTTTAATCACAGCACTTGGGTGGCAGAGGCAGGCAAATCTCTTGAGTTATAGGACAGCCAGGGCTACACAAAGAAACCATGTCTCAAAAAACCAAACCCAAAAAAAAGGGGACATGAAGTGCCTCCACCTTGAGGCCTGGGGGGTGACTATTTCCTCTTTTTTTTTTTTTTTTTTTGGTTTTTCAAGACAGCGTTTCTCTGTGTAGCTTTGTGCCTTTCCTGGAACTCGATTTGACAGAGATCAGCCTGCCTGCCTCGGCCTCCCGAGTGCTGGGATTAAAGGCGTGTACCACCCCCGCCCGGCCGGGTGACTATTTAACAATTCTATTAATCTCTGCTATCCCAGTGCCATTGTACTCCATTGCAAGGATCTTTCTCTGCCATGTTCACGGCTGAGCTAATTACTACTATGAGATTGCTACTGTGTCAAATGCCATAATGATAAAACTGCTTCTTTAAAAAGTATTTTTAGTTGAATCTTGCATGTGAAATGCATTGTTTTCTGTGCCCATACAGGTGAACATGATTAAAGATGATGGAACAGTTATTCATTTCAACAACCCCAAAGTCCAAGCTTCCCTCTCCGCTAACACCTTTGCAATTACTGGTCATGCAGAAGCCAAACCAATCACAGAAATGCTTCCTGGAATATTAAG